ACTGTCGTTTAAAACGTTAAGTAGACAATTAAGATTTTAGCAGTTGACCCCAACAACTTTGCCCAAGCTGTAGCAGTTTGCTTGATATCGTCACTCCTCCATTTGTTACGCTTTTTTTTGCATCTATGCAATGCAAAAACGCATACTGTCGTGGGGTTGTCTGTGTGTATGAGTTTTTGTGCCTGTGTGTGGGTCTCTACCAAGTTTTCATCTCGAGATCTTCAGAAACTACAAGGCTGAAACTTTGACAACTTAATCTACACATACGTACGGGCCCATATCCTCAAAATGAACGCTCACGTCCACGTTTTTCTCACATGCGGGTGCCTGAGGCTTTCTTGGCGGGGAAGCGTTTTCGGGAATTGCGTAAGCTAGAAGTCTGTGACTTTACGGAGATGTTCCCTGGCCATGTCTAATCCAATGGTTTCGGATTCAGCTTCCACGCACCCGTAGGTCTCACGTACACACACGTCAAAGTTTTAATTGGCATCATGCTAACTTCAGATTTAAGATGACCAAAAAGTTGTAGAGAGATGTGATTTTGCGGCGTTACTTGTTGCCCTCTGTTGTATCCGTGAAGGTAAATTGAACTTTTCAGCTCCTCTGTCACGTGAAATTGTCATGTAGACCGTTTTGTAGCTTCGGAACTGGAGTAACTAGAGAGCTGAAACTTTCTGAGCATAACCGACAGCGGCGTTTGGTCGGATGAGCGCAAAAATGGCTTTCAGGTCCTTTTCATGTCTTACATACGTCTCTCAGACGCACACTTGAAATTTGGCGTAACTCCGCAACTAAAACATCTGGAGCGCTGAAATTTTCTGAGCGTAGCTCAGGACCGTGTTTGAGCAAGCGTATGCGAAAATAGCATTCATGTTTCTCGCGAACGCATGAAATTTGACCTAACTCCGCAACCACAGCACCTAGAGTGTTGGATTTTTTGAGCAAAAATTGGCAGTCACTGTAATAATTTCTGACATTCATGATGACCAGTCTCAATTCTTTTAGCGAGAAGGATTTGCCGGGGATAACAGTGCCGTTAGCAATAAAAACTCGCGGGGGAACTGTGCAAAAAACGCATCTTCGCACTGGCAGTCGGTGCGCT